TGTTGTACTTTAATTTAATAACTAGGTATGTGCAATGACAAATAGTAATTTGGGCTTCTAATACAAAATATTCAGAATATTTTGTTAATGTGTTTTCGAAAAGAATCGTCGAGAAATATATGTGTTATAATACATCAATGCAATTTGTGATCATGAAGACTATCAAAAATTATTGACGTACAGGTCCGTTTTGAAAAATATAAATATTGTTGATGAATTTTAATGAACGAAACGTCGCCGACGCACTGAAAAATTTGTTTCACCGCTTATTGAAATTATTGGAAATTGAGTCGATGAAGCAAAAACATGAAATCATTTTCAGATTTTTGCATATATCTCCAAAAGTGTAGACCAGTTTTCCATATTCATGGTGTCATTCTGTTGCATCATTGAAAAATCTAGTTTTGCCCTATCAACCTACCTTGTAGGACAAACCGTCCTCAAGATAGCAACAGCGCATGGCGCTCGAGCTCAAATAGAGAAAAATATGTGTAGGTTCGCGTTTTCATGTTTACGTAGAATCGTATTTTTTCAATAATTGCATAAACATCAGTCGACGGCATTCTCTATATATTATTTTTTCTCTGAACCCAATTGTAAAGTCCACACCGACAAAGTTCCGAGCATAAGCTAGTTCTCAATAAAACCAATGTAATTCAATTGTTAACTCAACCTAATAATACAAAACCACCGTCATCATACATTTATCGGAAACAACAATCTAAGATTAAACGACGCACCTGTAAGGAAGTTCAATCTTGATTATATGAAGAACCACTACATCATAGACCACCTTGTAGTTACGCCTCTGAGGCGGAAACCGACCACTAGTTTTTACCCGAATGAAAGAAATATTCCATATCAATATACTCAGCCCATTGATTCATTATGATTTTTGGTGCACCTATTTCAGATCGCGTAAGGGTAAGCTAAAAATGAGGGAGGGTTGGGTTGGTCTATGATGTAGTGGTTCTTCATATAATCAAGATTGAACTTCCTTACAGGTAAGTCGTTTAATCTTAGATTATATTTCAGAACCACTCCATCATAGACCACCTTGTAGATGTTTAAAGCATATCAGCGATCTGAATAATACTCTGTAATTAATCATTATGATTTAATAATTCGTAATTTAAGTTCATAAACTTATCATAAAAAAAATATATCATATCGGNCAACTTGAGTCGACCAGCATAGTTGGTAGATACCTGATTTATTTCCTTCGTTTTTCTTGCATCCTCCTTGTGATCATTTTTCTTTGATACCGCGAGCCCTCGTTTTGGATCCTGTAGTCCCCTTTTTGGTAATTCTTTATTCTGTGCTTCTGGAAAGGTCGCTTGAAGTATAAAGACGTTGATGGTTGAACAGGTTCTTTATATTCTTTACAAGCATTTTGAGCAGCTTGTGCCGTTTTGCACTTTTCTGAAAACCCAGACCCAAAAAGGAACTGATCCGATAGATTCTTCAGCAATCTTTTTTACTTGTTCATTCATCATCGGAAAAATCTCATGTTTTCGGTGTCTCGAAATTAAAAAATGACTCTCGTACAATAATTTGGCAGAGTCTACCAATGTTGCTATGATTTTTTCCTTAATATCTTTATGATTGTCACCAGTCAATGAACAATCTAAAACTTGGCCAATTGCACCAAGACCTTTACCCATTTTATCTTGCACTGCCGATAAAAATGCATCTTTCTTCAATTGTATCCCCGAACATAATTCTTGCAGCTCATTATTCAGTTTTTGTGCACTGAGTAGAGGACAATTTTCAGGAATCTTCCATTTTTTAGATAGGGAATCTCGTATTTCTTTATCGAGACCTTTGCTCAAATAAACAGACCATCTTGTTACAATATCCCCGTTTATAGGTTCTCCCATAACCGTGTCTGAAGAGAGATCTGTAGTCAACAGATTGACTACAGACAGAGAATCACTTTCTGTAGTTGGGACATCCTGTACCTGCGCCTCTGTTATAATTCTCACAGGTGCGTCTTCATTTGCATCTGAGTCATCATCCGTCGAATTGAGATTTATATGACCCCTCTGTATATTATCATCTCGAGAATTATCACTGCTTCGCGATGTATCACTTTCAGATTCTGACACACCTAAAAATTTGTGTGAACACATGACACATGAACATCCCTAAAGCACAATATTAACTGCCAAGAATATTGAGCAGCTAAGCACCCAAGCCAAAATAGCAGGCACAATATCAACTGCCAAGAATATTGAGCAGTTAAGTACACAAAGCCAATTCAGCTAAATGTACAACTGAGCATGTCTCATGAATAAGACCCTTGTCGCCACTCCTACTGAAAATAATAAAAGCTTGATCGTAACCCTTTTCAATTTCCTAATTTTCTTTTTCATTTTGCACAACGTCTCAACAATTTCAAGTNCACTAAAAAGCATAATAAATCAATGGGCTGAGAGTATATTGATATGGAATATTTCTTCCATTCAGGTAAAAACTAGTGGTCGGTTTCCGCCTCAGAGGCGTAACTACAAGGTGGTCTATGATGGAGTGGTTCGGAAATATAATAGACTCATTGTGATATTCAGCTTATTATTGGTTTCTTGGAATCGTGACAGAATAAACCACTCGGATAATGATTGCAGCAATTCGGAAAGACCTCATTGGGTGGTTGACATATGAGTCCGTTGATATTTTTTATTTTATTTCAATTTAATTGAATTTCAATATGGGATCTGTAACATAAGTGAACTGCCTAGTTTTTTTTAAGGACAAACCACAAGCACTACAGGAAAGTCCTTGAGGTGTCCTAGGAGCGCTGCCTGAGCGAAAGTAGCGATTCACATTGGATTTGAATCGCTGGAGATTAAATCCATTTGAAAAAACGTCCTCGGGAAGTTTATTCCACTTAAACGCAGTTTTTCTAATGAAAATCTTTTCAAATAATGAAGTTCGAGGTGTACTGGGTTGAACCTCAAAACGATGAGCAGCCACAGTACGTGGCGTATTTCTGATATGCACCGCTCTTGGTGAAAAAAATGTGTCAAGTAACTTTGAACACTTCCCGTGGAAATATCTATAGAAGAGAGACAAATCCCCAATCTTTATTCGATGTTCCAGACTATCAAGGTTGCAAGTGATGTTCGCGTCTCCAATCAGGCGAATGACTCTTTTCTGGCTAGAATCCAGGAGCTTCAGGATATGCTTAGGGGCGGAGCTCCATACATGAGAACAATTCTTCAAAGAAGGTCTGATCTGAGCTCAATAAAGTATTAAAATTTGCTGAGATTAAACGGAATCTACATACAATGTTGTCCTCTGCCATACCATATATACATCTGCTAGGTGCATGCATCTTACTTGTTTCAAAATGAATTTCACAATGTTGCCTTACCTGACTAGTTATCACATTCATCTAGTAAGAAGAAGATAGAAACACGTGTCGAAGTGTTGGAATAATGGTTTGGGGTTGGGAAAAAACTCCAGTGATATTCATTACTACACCAAAGGATCCAAACAGTGCATCACAAGGACATCATTGTTTGTAGATTTAGTTGATCATGAAATATTTTTATAATATTGAATATCAAACGAAAAATGTTAATGAATTACACTTCAAAGAGTAAAGTTTCTCTGGAGAAAAATTTTAATCTTGATGTTTAGAAAAGTTGTACAATTGCTAAACTAACTAATTTTTTCCAACCTCTACTAATACATATGCCCTCATAAAAATCAAAATTATATGATCAAAGATATCTGCTATATACTCAAGAAGATCATGTCTTTAGGGTTTATTGAAAATTATTTTGTTACAACACTTTTTTAAAATTGAATGATATTTATAAATTCAAGAATTGTTTTTTCAATATCATAATCACTACAACGTAGTCATCGACGTCATGTATTGATTCAAGAGGATGTTCCTCGTAAAAATTCAATCTTTGCTTATAATAAAATTGTTTTCTTATGTTTCCATTCATTGAATAATTAGTGCGGGAATAATTGCTTCTTTCAAGTCATAACTGTCATTCATCGACTATAAATTATTGATATGATATAGAAAAAAATGTGAATAAAATTCTAGAAACAGCCATGTGTGAAAAAATACACTTATATTCATATTTTATTTTTTTCATAACACTTTCTAATATTATACGATAGTGACCTATTGATTTGAGAAACAAACTGATATTTTTCAACTACTATTAGAGATACTATGGTGAATCTTCAGGTCGTTTTCATAACAGATCAATTACCCTTCGAACCTTCATCAGCTAATATAGACATTTTTTCATAAAAATCGAAGACTCTTTGATATTTTTCTTAATTATGAATTATTAATTAGGCAAATATAGTAATGGTCCTTTGTTCACTCAAGAATTATCTTCCAATCATATACATAACTGATTGTGAACTATATAGTACCCAAACACAACGCATTAACAATTCAACACAAGCCAGCGCTATTTCAACCTGCTAAGGTCGAAGGGCAAGCCTAACCAGATGAGTGTGACGCTATCTGAGGGATCGACAAAGAACTCAATCCTCGAATATCGAAGATAAACAAGACTTCCAAGGCAATTTGTTGATGAAATTAGCTTCATAAACGACTACCAACGAAATTTGCCCTCTATCCTTCACTGCAGCTCTCAGGAACCCAGTTTTGGCATTGAAGTGAAATTATAAATGTGGAGGAAGAGAAGTGCCATGATAAATAACAGAAAAAGGTAGAGTTATTGAATAACTAAGTGCCTTCTTTTTTCATCCCAATTCGTTGATAATAATTGCATTTATTGTGTGCTGTAAAAATATTGAAAATATTTTTGTACACATCATTATGAATCCAATGAACTATTGCTCATATTTTAGGAGCTTCATGTCGTTTGAACACATTTACGCTATCGGAATTTCAACGTCCGTTTTTTAACGACCATCCCAAATCTACATGTGGTATCCTTACAGATAAACTAATATTGATATTGATTTACCTTTTTTTGGTGGGTTATATCCATGTACCTCGCAGTACGTTGTATGCGTCAGTCTTTCAGGGCTCAGTAGAGTTTCAGCACATGGCAAAGTAGCAGGAGTATCTATAGTGAAGTCCGTTGTATTCGAAACTGGTGTCCGTTGTTGTTCTAACGACTGTCTTTCTTTCAAACACTCGCGCCGACACTTTGCACATCGCTTCATCTCACTGCGCATTCGCAATAGCCACACCATACCGAAAAGAGCCATCTTAGTCGGGCGCCTCATTGTAGATGCTCGCTCATATGGAGGCAGGGACACTCTAGATTTAATCAACTTTTTCTATATTACATGTGAACAGCGCTTAACTGATGGCTAATATTTAAGAAATTATTTTTGATAAATCTTAAAATAGAATTTAGAACAATGGAATGACGATGTTTATATTTCACTGAATATTTTGTAGGTATTTCGTAGCAATAAACCCATTCGACCAGAAATTAATAACTATCCCAGTTTACATGGTGCTGCAGCGATAAGTTGCAGATGAATTCTCAGTTGAATCTCATACTGACGATGTTGAATAATATATGTTCTAATAGATTGTTTTTAAATAAACTTCTGCGAGTTATTGCTCACGGAAAACGAGCATTAGCTGAGAAGATATGACACAAGTATAAATAAAATATATGTTGCACACTTCACCCCCAATTCGAATATAAAGTTAACAGGTACAGAGTGGGTCCAAAACTAGATAGATGAAAACTGATGTTTATATCTGAGGGTCAAATTTTATGACAAACAATGGTGAAAACCACATATGGATATCTATCAGCGTTTCTGAGTTACAGCACGTTTTTAAAAAATGTGCATTTTCGAAAAGTTGCTGTAATTTTTTTCCTAGTGAATATTACTTGCTTCTATGAAAACATTTCCCAACCTTTTTTTACGTAGAATTCAATGGTGTAAAAACCTTATTTCTTCGAATGAGTTATCAGTAGTTATTTATGGAAAACTATTTTTTCAATGAGACACCCTGTATATTTCTGCATATTTCAACAGAGCTCAAAATTATTTTTCAAAAAATGTAGCACACTTGATATTTTTCTAGAGTTATTTTTGAAATATCGATCTTTTAGGTTTTTTATGTCGACTTTGAAACGTACACTATGATCAAGTAGGCTTTGGACGACGCGACGATAAAACAAAAAAAATTATTCGGTAGTAGCTTTTCACAGCAGTTGCAATGAAACTGATAACAATTTATAGTATATTTACTATTGATGAATGAAACTTCAATAATGATTAATAATGATATAAAACAAACAATGGAATATATTTCTTCAGAGAAGGTATTTAAAATGTCTACCAGCTTCTCTCACGAACAGGCGACACCTTTTCTGAACGTTTTTTTTTCGAATCAATTAGTTCAATAGGGGTACCATTGAAAATGATATCTTTCAACTTTCCCGAGAGGTCAAAGTCCATAGGTGTAAGGTCTGGTTACCTGGCCGGCCAACGTTTGGGTTTTTGGTTGGCTATCCAATTATTACCAACATTTGTAGCTGAAAAATTGATGACAATTGCAGTGTTGTGAGGTGAAGCTTTGTCTTCTTTAGAATATATTTTTCAGAGCTCCATCAGTGGCATTTCATCAATAAGGGGTTCAGTATTTTCCCCTAAAATTTCTAAATATCTCCGAGATATGAGTAGCTATTCTACCCCTATAAATACCTGCCGACACACTGTTCCACAATAGAATGGGGATTTTGTTGTGCCCAATTATCAAAATTGTATAGGTTGAAATCTACCTAACGTCAATTCCTGATAGGCCTATTTATATTTTTTCCATTTCGCGTTAACGTTTTGAGATTATTATCAACAGTTCCTAAAACGACTATTTCTTACAACTCCTTATCCCTATTTGATTCATATAATTTTGGGCATTTTTTTTCAAATTGACCATCATCATTTAGGTTTTGTCGCAATCTTATGAAAATGTCTTTAAAAAGTTGTCTTCTTTCTAGATACCTCTCGTGATACTAATTGCTTGCTGCTTCTGCATTTTTTCCGGTTTGTATGAAACATACTATCATATCCAACTTTTCATAATTTCCAAACTTCATTGCGAATGTGTTTGAAAATTGAACAAAAACAACTAACTAAAGAGCGTCTTTACTGCTTAAACCAAATTTGACTGTAAAGATTTGCATTCTGTTTCATTGCCGCATCATTCAAAGCCTACTCGATCAAAGTGTGCTTTTCAAAGTTCACCTGAAAAAACCTTAAAGCTCTGTATTTCAAAGATCAAGTGTGCTACATTTTTGTAAAAGTTATTTCAAGCTCTATTGAAATGTAAAGGAATATACAGAGTATCTCATTGAAAAAAATAGTTTTCCATCAATAACTATCGATATCTCATTTGAAATAAAAAGTTATATACACCATTGAATTCTACACCAAAAAGTGTTCTGGAAATGTTTTCACGGAAACAAGATTTTTTTGAAAGTTACGGCAACTTTTCGAAAATGCATATTTCCAAAAAAACATGCTGTAACTCAGAAAAGATGATACATATCAATATGTGGTTGCCACCATTGAGGTTGCCATAAAATGTTACTATCTATCTAGTGAGCCAGCTATTTGATCTTTTATATATAACAAATTTTTGACAATTATGTTGACTAAGAAATTAAATAACCTTCCATAAAAAATAAACTGATGAGGATTTGTTAATATTAAAATATTAACCTGTTTTACCTCGCTAATTCTTTTTTGTATTGAGGTAAACGTATATTTCCTCAATTCCATCGATTCAATTCCTCACAGCTAATGCTCATTTTTATGACTAACAAATTGGAAACATTAATACAAAAATTTCAATCATTATGCATCGGTATGCGATTTAGCTAGACAAATCTTTTGCAGTTTTTTGATGTTCATATTTTCTAATGTATGATTTCTGTTGAATAATCGATTAGGGTATACATTTTCAACATCAGTTCTCAGGGTATTATAAATAATCTCATTATCCACTTCTAATGATCGAGTGTAAATTCTACATTCAATTTGATATAAAAAAATTAATTTCTCTTCAAGAATTTTTTTTTTCAGAAGTACTTCTTATGAGATCACTTCGGATAGTATTCGGTTACTTCAACCTTGAATTTTTGAGAAAACAAACTGTAGGTACTATTGCTAGTAGCCAAAATTCTCAAAAACAATATGAACTTTGACAAGAGACAGATGAAAGTTGGTACTATTCGAAAAGTCATCAGAATCGTTCTGGAATTGATTCATTTAGAGATAAATAAACTAATAAATTAATCACTTGATTCCCAAACGATACTGATGATTTTTCAAATGCTAGCGATCATATCACAGTTTTTTTATTCATGAGTGCCAAAGTAAGCAATTCTTTCATCAAAAATTTCAATTAAGACATTTCCATTATTTTATTATTGGAACACAAGTCGCTTTCACCATATGATGCAATTCAAACTCAATTAATTGTCGATTGATGGCTATTTAATGAAATATAGGCCCTTAAAATTGCGTTAATGAATTTTATCTAAGATCTGGTATGGGAGAGATACCTATGAATGCAGAAAAATACAATATCAAATTCCACAATGTTCAACAATATGATTATTTTGTAGTTCTGGTGAATGTGTAATAAATGTGAGTAGTTTTCATCAGATCATCCCAAAAGATCCCTCTTTTGACAGTATAAATTATTTTCAACTATTGGCCATCAGTTAAAGACACCAGTCACCTGGCAAGATTCTACAGGTAAAACAAAGTTTCATTACATCAGTGCTCCGAGTTGAGTTTCAAATATCACCAATATAAAACATTTCACAAATAACGATTTGATCAATTGTTGAATTCATACACAATTGAACTATTTTCAACAAAATATTTCATTTTCTAGTCAGTCTTCATCCATTCATTTGTTCGTTTTCAATGACATGGTAGCATAGCGTTATGTTTCAAGCAAAAATAAAACTCTGGTTTGAACATTTTGTGAACCAAACTGCATTTAATTAATTTTTAATCAACTCAACATCCCGCATCCTATTGGAAATGTTTTGTGGGCTCATATTTCAGTTACATGAAAGAGTTCCAAGTTTTAACGGCTTCAATTTCAATTATTTGAATTCACTTACATCGTAAAAGGAACATTGGTTATAAGAGGAATTGAAATGTTCGTCTCACAGATCTTCGATGGATATACAAGTCTGAAGAACAGTAATTAGAAATTTCAAAAAATTCACTGATTAATTAAGGCTATGAGATTTAGTCAGAAAAGAAATATATGAAGTTGACGAATCGAATGGAATGTATAGAATAAACCTAACAAACGTTGATGTTCAGCAAAGTTGGAAAAATCTCTTATGAACAAATGGTATAACCACCAGAATATTGTATGACATGAAGTAGGCACTATGTCGACATCAAAACAGACATTTTTGCTTATTTATTTCATTTCAATATTCAGGTCTTAATAAAAAGCAAATCAATTCATATAACATCATCGATTCAAAATATCGATTGATGCTATCACTGAAGTATTGAATTGTTCAACTGAAAAACTGAGTCACTTCCTACAAGAATATATTGAGTCGAATAGATAAAAGGTATATTGACTGAACTGATTGACTACTCGATTGAGAATCTATGGCTACGAAATTTTTTATATAGAATATATCTCATACTTAGATGAAAAACTCAGCGTAATAGGTGAAATTGGAATATCTGACATAAAATAAGTATAATGATAACATCAAATCAGAACTGTAATGTTTTTTTTTGACACGGATTTCATTGAAAACGCAAACTAATGAACAGAAAGTATTCAAGAGAATTAAAAAAAATACAGTTGAAAATTTGAAAAGTATTAAATTTCATTTTAATGAAGTGATAGTGGAGAATACTTGTGAACAAGCCAGTGCACTTTTTTATATCCATCAGATAAATCACGATATACCTGTCCCTGACACACATTACACTACCAGATTGTCGGTTGAAGTCTCATGATCATTACACCACATTTCAAATTTCATCGCTTATTGATATTGAATTGAACTCAGGTCCTGTAGTCGCTCAAAACTTTTCACAGATGGAATCGATAGTTGTGAACGACTTGGCCATCTGTTCTAGACAGTATTCCTTTAGGACACGAAAACTCTTATTTTCAGACGAGTATTCACTTTTCATTCACTACCGAACTTTGTTAATTACTCCGGATTCTTCCATTATTAGAATCTGCGAAAAAATATACGAAGTTAGAAGCAGCCTAGGATCCCGGTGAATAACATGTTGTTCACAAAATATTGTGAATTTTTAGGTTTTCTCATTCCACTTTCAGTTATAAAATTAATTGTGTACTGTCTATATTAGATAATATAACAAAGAGGATAAGAAATGGAATTATTTTTGTATTCGAATTTCAGATATCTTCGGATATTATAGCTTTCGTGATATACATTTGGAATCTTGACTGTTGAATTTGAGACGGAAACATTTCGGTCCTGATAAAATTCAATTTTAAATCTTTCACAAACCTGGTATAAATTTATTCATTCTGCCTTACTTCACAACGTGAAATATTTTGTACTGAAAACTGAAAACTGGACAAAACTGAATTAACGATATGGTATTCCAATTGAGCACAAACCTTATGAGTAGAAAAAGTATTCACGCTAAGTTAGAACAATATTGTTATTCACCACAACATCAATCTAGACAATATTCAGAAAAGTGCCCTGAAATGATCTCATCTTCATTTTTATCACATCTCAAATAACATCTATTTGTATTTTCTACAAAAGAGATTTATATGTTTTCATTCAGAAGACAAGGAAAGCAAAACGTTGGAAAATTTCTCTCCTATAGATATTTCAATTATTCGTATTTTGAATTGTTGGGAACCTGAGAAATTTTTTAACTTTATTTATACTTGAGAAGTTACATTAATTGCTTTCATTGTCGAGTAGTCTCACAATCCGGTTGATGTTACCACGTATAGTATTTCACGATTCCAGACAAATGAAAATTGCATTTGAATAACAAATATTTTTGTTCGAAAAAATTATTCATTCATTTCATTACTAATGTAAAACACAACGCTCTTTACATCAGCAGCTTTGTCGAAAACTTCAAAAGACAATTCACCTTGCTGAAGATTTTACTACTGTAGGTCACTTGAAGAGAAATATTAACTTTTTCACAATCACAGTTCATAGAAAACATTCATACAGCCAGTTTTTCAATCCCACAGCCATGGACATTTCGTTTAATTGAAGAAATAATATTCTTCAGGAGATATTTGTTTTTGTGTAACAAATTTTTTGATCAGAGCATTATTGGAATCAAATATACTTGAAAGTATCGAGAACATATTATACAGGGTATTTTTGGTGGATACTTGTCATCTTCCAACTTCATACAAAATTAACTTTCAAAACCCTGTCGAATGACAAAAATTCGTTAGGTTTTCGATGCTTCTGCCAAACATACACGGGGTAACTAATTGAGACAGAACAAGACTAATGAAATGTCATCGATATATCCAAGAACTTGGAGATGATTTCAGAAGTCGATTTTGAAATAAGTATTCATAAAGATTCCCTAATACAATATTGGTAGTAGAAGACAATGTAGTGTGAAAGTAGAAGAAATTATGAGTATTTGTTGATTCACATACAATTTTTCATTCGGCTTATATTATGTCGGAAAAACGAAGCCGATATAAATAATTACAAAAAAATTAAAGTTGATTTCATCACATGGTTGTGATATTTGTCGTAAAAAATATAAAAAAAACCTTTGAAATTCATCAAGTGTGTAGCATTTTAAGTGTGCAGAATTTTTTTCAATATGTACCTTTTTCAGTCTCGATTTGAAAATGTTCAGATTTTCTGGTAAAGAGTTGTTCTATAAATATTGGGCACCAGTTTATCTCTGGAACGAGTTGGATAATAATTTCGCAAACTACACCTCACGATTCGATCCCCACAAACATGTTGTCATATATTTTTCAAATAAAGTTTGTAGACATCAAAGCGTGAGGTGTAGTTTGCGAAATTACTATGGATCTTCATCAAGTAACGTCCGAATCAATCAGAAAATTGGATAATAATGTTGCTGGTAAGGTACATCATGCTTGTTCCTATAAACGTATGTACATAACAAGCGAACCGACCCGGCTCCGCACGGGTATATGTTGATACTAAATATACAGAAAAACGCTAATCATAAACTGCTACAGGACGAAAATATTCATTCGAATTCATTCTCGAGGATGAAAAATGGATATTCCGTGTTATTCCTGAGAGAAAGACAAATACCATAGCGGAATTTTTGTCAGACCCTTTCAAGGTGTATAATACTGTAGTACATTTTTTCAACTATCTCGTAGGGTTTAGCCGTACAAGATATGTGTTTATTTACATAACATTAGAAACCTCTGAAATTATTAATGTTTCTCTAAATCCCTACATGAATCCCTTCATATTGCATTTTTTGCAAAATAGATATATATTTTTTTAATGGACCATAAATTCAATTTATGGTCACATAGTACAAGCTCAGTGAAATCCTTTCACTACTAGTCATGAATCTCAGAGCATTGCAGTTTTTTCTGAATTTAGTACAGAGTGTCAAAATATGAGAAGTTCATGTGAATTTGTAGTCCAAGGTGATGCCTAATAACACCTTGGTGGAAGTACAAGATTCAATTTGCAGTTCCTCATTTTCATGGATAACACGATATTCTGGAGAGTAAATGATTGTGAACTTCATCATCACACTTTTAGATGCATTGAGTGTCAAAAGTTTTTTTTCTTAACACTCAATACGTGTAAAGGAGGTGGAAACTTGTGAGAACGGATTAGCATCTAGCAAAAATCTTAGAAATATATCCTAGAAAGGATAGTACATATACTGGTGAAATAATTCATTCATTCAAAAATTGTATCCACTTGAAGTGGAATTCCAAAAGCAGAAAGGAGAATCGGCACTAGACACCGAAGAACAAGAAATAGAAAAGGAAGCTGAGGAGCAGATACAGGTGAAACTGAATGCGAAGACTGAAGAGAAGAAAGAACAATGTTCTACTACCACAGGCGACTTCACAATTCATTTTTCTCTTTTTTCAATTGTGACGCGAGAGGATGAAGACTATTATTTTTCATATATTCACCGTTCAGTTTGTTTAGTTATTTGAGTTACCTATATTTAGAAGTGAAAGAAAGTCATTATTTGTTTTCAAGTTAAGAGAATACTTGAAATATATTCTTACACAAAAAATGAGAAATAAACCTTTCTATGTTTTTTACCACTTGAATTTGTAACTAACGTTACTACAGTTTCGTCATATAAGGACATTTTCAAACTGATAATAAGAATTTTTATTTCTCATGATGATTTTCTACCATGGCTATATCCATGAATTCATATATTCTTACATTTTCCAAAAGAAGTATAAGCATTTTTTGTTTCAAATCAATGTGGATACTGGTAATATTTATTTGAAAACACAAATTTTTAAAAGATCGGTTGAGTCCAATGTATTCGTGGTTAAGCCTAGCACCAATGATGACACATTAGCGGGTTGAACAAGGACTGTTAGGTGTTAGATCAGAAAATCTTTGTTTAAATGCTCGGGTTTTATCCAGTTACCTTGCAATGAAAGCTGCACTGACAGACAGAAGGCGAATCTCGTACGGTGGTCGATGTCAAAGCTTGACTCGTTCATCTTTGATATTCATGACTTTGACTTCATGAATTTTTTCACTCCCCTATAAATTGATTTAAATTGTTTTTACATTCAATGATACCCCATCATGGAACTTCATTTGAATATTTAATTTTTTTCAATAATTTTGATAAAAATTCAATACAATCACGAAATGTCATATTTCATGTATTTTCAGAAAGTTGACCAACTTTCCTCAGTCGAGTCAAAAAGTGACGCAACCCTCACAATTGTACCGCGTCAATACCATCTCTGGAGAGTGGTGTTCTGTGAGTGTTCTCTTAGTTGACTAGGGGCGATAATATTTGATTGAAACCAAAAAAAATAACAGTGGGATGAAACCCATTACAAAAGAAGAGAATATCATAATAATTGAAGGTAGTGGAAGGGGGTGAGTTTTCGAGGATAAAATATGGTTTATCTCGATTTCCGACAAAACTACATGCCCTATGGAAAAAAGGTCTATGATGGAGTTATAGGTAATGAAAAGATCTACAACTTTCGTTTACACAATTTTTTCACTCAACCCAAAATTTATGTGAAAAAATCAAATAACCAATAATTACATTCATGTCATAGAAAATCTCATGATATATAAATAAACATATGAATCGTACTTTTGAATTCAGATACTTCATTCTGATTACGTTATAGATTATAATATTTTTGAAAACGGTAATCTTATTATTTATAAATATCTTATCTTGAATTTTAATCACTTATCCATTAATTTTTGTCTCTTTGATGGCATTTATTCATCGTTAGATTCGAAGTAGCTGCTGGTACTGTTGTGACAATGACTGATTTTTTTATTTCGGAGATAATATAGCTGCTTGCTGCGTAATGTTTTTCTACATAGCGTAAATATGTATTCATGATCTCTTCCACAGTTTCATTTTTCTGCCAAATTACTTTGTGCAGTTAAAATCCACCGTCGACAACACGCACAATGCCGTCAGAATGCGTTGGTCTATTCACACTCACAAATAATTCATAGAGTTGAGATTTTACATTTTTCATGAGTCCATTTTCTGTAAAAAGTGACAGTGGAAAGGGTGCAAGCTCGTATTGTAAATAAGTTTCCATATCTATTTTACTGTAGATCGTTAACGATATACTTTGTAATAGCAATAATGGATCGATAGCTATAATATCTCTGTTTACTTTAACGGAAGATTGGACCGTTTTTATTGACAAGACTTTTTTTCCACACTGCAAAAATTCATTCCAACAACAGGTGGCAAATATTTTTTTTCCACCTTCATACGCTTCGCGGCAATTTACAGAATTACTGCTAATAAATCCAGAAAATATTGACATCAGGATCATACCTGTGGAAACATTTTTGTAATATTTGTAAATCATCTACATCTCTTTTCATTCGGTATTCCCTTGAATCAATGTGTTGCTATGTAGTTGCAAAAAAATATTTCAAAACTATTCCATTTGATTGCTAACTTTGACAAGTATCTATGATCATTGGTAATACGAATTCTGTTAAAACACTTTCAGATAAGTCACGATCATGTGTATAGGTACGTCCATTCTGAATTTTCATAGATCTAATTTTAAAACAACAATAAATAGGCATCTACGAATATTATTTATAGACGATTCTACAACCTTCTTGAAATATTGTCTTTTCAATGTAACATGGAATCTTAGGTTTTTTATGTAACTGAAGTGTAAATTTTAATAAACAGCACAAAATTATACATAATGATTGAACAAATTTTCGAATTCAAGTTTTTTTCGATTTTTTGCGATTTCTGAGAACTATAGTAATATATATTTTTTACACCATCAGAGAATAGAGATTTCAACGAATAAAAAGTACTCCGACTTTTTGAAAAAAGCTGATATTTTGACGCGAGAATTTTCGCTTGAAAATTAGGGTGCTTTTTTATATTGAGTCAAAATAAGGTGGTAAAATAAATATTTCAAATCGAATAAATTACTACGGAAGCGTAGAAGGACCAAATATTATTTGTTTATTTGATCCACCATAATTTTGACTCAAAAGTCGACTGTTATATCGTAATTTCGACTTTTATTTCGTAATTTAGAATTTTTTCTCATAATTTAGACTTTTATCTCGTAATTTCGACTTCTATCGCGAAATTTCAACTTTTAAGTCGAAATTATGTTGGATCAAATGAACAAATGATCTTTGGCTCTTCCACGCTTCCGTAAATCACAGGTAAGTTTCGTAAAACCGAAAACTTCCAACAAATTTATGGATGTGGCCGTTAGGAAATCATAATGAAGAAAACAGAATTGAAACTTTCTATGTTTTTCAGCACTTTTATTTGTAACTAACGTAACTGCAGTTTCGTCCTGTAAGGACATTTTCAAACTTATAAATTGAACTCATGTGTAACTCCAGTAACGTTAGATACAAATAAAAGTGGTAAAAAATATAGAAAGTTTCAGATCTTCTTTTATCATAACCAAAAACTTGGTTATCT